GGCGTGGTGGGGGAGCCACTAGCGCCAGTCCTGGGGCGGAGAGTTCAGTGCCACCTGCTCCTATCCTACCAGAGAAACAGGGCTGAGCCCCAGCATGCTCACTGCACGGGTGGCAGTGGGGTTGCTCCGCAGGCAGCTGGAGCCCAGCTGTGCGACCAGGCTTGTGCGGCCGCTCCGGAGGGATTCTATGTGGTGCCCAGGGCGTGGTGGGGGAGCCACTAGCGCCAGTCCTGGGGCGGAGAGTTCAGTGCCACCTGCTCCTATCCTACCAGAGAAACAGGGCTGAGCCCCAGCATGCTCACTGCACGGGTGGCAGTGGGGTTGCTCCGCAGGCAGCTGGAGCCCAGCTGTGCGACCAGGCTTGTGCGGCCGCTCCGGAGGGATTCTATGTGGTGCCCAGCTGATTAGCCCAGCGGCCATAGCTGGGTGATTTGTTTCTGCTGGTGGTGCACATTGCTCAGCGGTGTGATTTCAAACCGCCGCCTGTCGACTAGCACAGGACCGTCAGAGACGGCCCATCCGTGCCTGGGCTTGGCCAACACCCATTAGCACTCCAGTGGCTCTGTCACAGGCTCCATGCGCTGCGCATGGCTCTGGCAGGCTTGGTGACTTGGACGTTAAGGAAGAGCTACAGAGCAGGGAGAGGAAGAGGCGGGTGGGAGCAGGAGACCTGGGGGGTGCCCCAGATTTTCGGGTGCCCTACACCATTGTGTATTCTGCATATGAGTAAGGACAGCCCGGGTACACATTCACACATGCCTTGGTGCACATAAAAAACTTATTCTGCACATGCCTGGGAAAGATTAGAGGGAACATTGGTTCATATGCCCTCACCCCTCAGAGTCAAAGCCAGGTCCTCAGCCAGGGTCAATCGTCCATCGCCACACTGGGGTCAAGGGAGGCCAGCTCGGGGTCAACGCCACGGGCATCACCAGAGCCCATCAGCGACAGACTGCACAGCTCTGAGCTGGTCGCAACTGAGCCCAGCGTCTCTGAGCCCCCCGTGCAGGAGAATTGCCCCGGCAAGGCCCCAGCTCACCTGAGCTGGACTCACGACCTCGCTCTGTTCCTTACAGCCCGGAAAAGCATCTTCTTCAACAGCCACAGCGTCTCCAAGCCGGAGTCCTGCTCCCGCCTGACTGCAGTGAGTACGGGCGTGCGGGTGACACCGGGAGGCTGCCGGCTGGGTCGCGGTACCAGAGACAAGGCGGGGAAAGGAGGGGGAGTGAGCACAGCAGGGAGGATGGTGCGGGAGGGGGCAGCAAATACATCCCACTCAACATGCAGCAGGAGAGAGCAATGCAGCAGCCCCGAGCGGAGGGGCCTGACGTGGCCCCCATCATTGGTGTCTGGGCACTTCCTCCCTCCCGTGATCTCCTGCTGAGAGGGGACACAGGGGCAGCCTCAAAGGAACCCTAGTGAAGGGAGCAGAGGCTGCGGAGGCAGGAGACTGAGCCTCCATAATGGCTCTTGGCTGGTTGGATTGAACCACTGGCCCCAGTAGAACGCTCATGACTGGTTCTGGGGTGCAGCTTGGACAGGCCCAACCAGAGCCCACTGCGGCTCTAGGGGGCGCTGTGCTACAGGGAGTGGGGCGAGGGGCTCAGCAGGGGGCCCTGAGCTACAGGGAGTGGGGCCAGAGGCTCCCTAGGGGGCGCTGTGTTACAGGGAGTG